TAAATAAATAAATAAATAATAATAATAAAATCTTAAAAAAAAAAAAAAAAACGTGGGTTTTGGCCATTTTCTATTAAGTCGTTGACTTTTCTTCTTGATTAAAGCATTTTTAAAAACAAAATCAAATGCAATGTTATATGTCAATTATATCTCAATTTTTAAAGTGCAGTCATCTTTATTTTTACATCATTGTTCATTTTTGTACAATATTTGATTTCTCCCCTCAGGTGAAATCCCCAAAAATCTCCCACCGCCATGTTACCCATGAGCCATCATCATAGTCCCTTGTGTTCTCCCTCCCCCCTGCCCAGTTTTGACCCCTTTCCTTCCCTCTTCCCCCCTATATATCTTGAATCTATAATGTGTCTGCTAGTTTTGTCCTTTTTTCCCCCTGATCCTTTGTTCAGCTTCCCTCTATTCCTCCCATAAGTGAAACCATCCAATATTTTTCTTTCTCCTGACTTCACTGAGCTGTTATCCCTTCCAACTGCATCCATGTTGCTGCAAATGGCATGAGTTTATCTTTTCTGTTTGCTACATAGTATTCCATTGTGTGTATATACCACATCTTGTTGATCCACTCATCTGTTTTGGGGCATTTAGTTTGTTTCCATATCTTAGCCATTATAAATAATGTTACAATAAACATAGGCCTGCAGGTTTTCTTTCAAATGAATGTTTTTGTGTCCTTTGAGTAGATTCCTGGGAATGGGATTGCTGGGTCATATGGCAGTAACATTAAAAATACAGTCATCTGGGCCTCCCTGGTGGCGCAAAGGGTTAAGACGCAACCTATGAAGCTCTCCGCAGCCAAAGCGGCAAGAGTTTGATCCCTGGCCAGTTTGATCCCTACCCACATGGTGCAGCAGACCTCTCCTGACTTGCCTGCTGCTCCCTCGGAAGTGTATTTCAGTAAGTCCGCCTGTTCTGTTCCCCACTGTCTCTGGTATATCCTCTCATCCCCCCCCACTTCTGGCCTGTACCCCAGTTCTTGTATGCATAAATAAATAAATCTTTAAAAAAATGCAGTCATCTTTAATTTGTAATTTCCTGTAATTTTCTTCCTGTAATTTTTCAAAGCATAAACCTGACAAAAATAGGAGAAACCCCAGGTTTCCTTTGTTTATTGAGGCCCATCATGATTGTCATTAGTTCATTTTAAGAAGCATTTCTAAGTTTGAACAAAAAAGTACATTTAACATTTTGTTAAACTAGATTGAACTGCAAAAAGTTTACCCATAACAGATATTCAAAAATCATTCAAACTTTATAGAGAGGAAACTAGTACGACCTGTATTAATCTGTCATTGGGATAGTGAGAAGTTATTACCTCCTTAACTGTATATGATTAAGGACGCTGTAATGGAAGAAACATAGACACTTTGTTGAGATAACATCAATTTTTCAAAAATGAATATACCCAACACTTTCTGTAGGGTTTTTGGGGTTTTTTTTTTCCTGTCAATAATCTTTTTGGCAGCTTTTGTTTTGGAAAGGCAAATGTCTCTCAGGTTTAAAATAGTTATGACATTGGGATTTATCCTTACTTGGAAACTGTACAAGGCTTTAAACCAAAAGAAAAAAAGTGATAGGCTTTTAAAAAGTCCCTAACAAACAGTCCTTTCTCAGGAAGCTATGTTTCCAGCCATCTAACTTGTATGTTTTTGTGTATTATGTTAAATCACATAAAATTGCTAAACAATTTGGCATACAAAACAACAGTTTTTACTGTTCAATCTATTATCTTTATAATTTTCTTCCTGTAATTTTAAGACTGATAGATAGATATAAGACTAACTCATAGATACCATGTATGCAGTATGCCTGTGGTTTGTTTGTTTTTTTTTTAAATTTTCTGGTTGACTAAATTAGCTTGACTATGGAGGAATGCTTATAGGGAATAAAAGAAAGATAAAAAATAACTGCACAAAGTGATAGTGAAGGCAAAGATAAACAGCTGGGACTACATCAAATTAAAGAGCTTCTGCACAGCAAAAGAGACAATAACAAAAACAAAGAGAAACCCCACCAACTGGGAGAACATTTTTGCACCCAACACTAATGATAAAGGACTGATCACAAAAATCTGCAAAGAGCTGATGAGACTCAGCAACAACAAAGAAAATAATCCAGTCAAAAAATGGGCAGAAAAGCTAAAAAGAAACTTCTCTGAAGAGGAAATGCAAATGGCCAACAGACATATGAAAAAATGTTCAACATCACTTGTAATCAGGGAAATGCAAATCAAAACTACCATGAGATACCATCTCACACCAGTGAGAATGGCACATATTAAAAAAACTAGCAACAACAAATGTTGGCGAGGGTGTGGAGAAAAAGGAACTCTTCTGCACTGTTGGTGGGAGTGCAAACTGGTCCAACCACTATGGAGAGCTGTGTGGAGATTTCTGGACCTACTAAACATAGAGCTTCCATATGATCCAGCAATCCCACTCCTAGGTATTTACCCAAAGGACACAGAAACATCAATTCCAAAGAGCACCTGCACCCCTATGTTTATAGCAGCACTGTTTACAATAGCTAAGCTTTGGAAACAACCCAAATGCCCAAAAATAGATGACTGGATCAAGAAGATGTGGTACATATTTACCATGGAATATTACTCAGCATTCAAAAAAGATAAACACATGCAATTTGCAGCAACATGGATGGCGCTGGAAGGGATCATGCTCAGCGAAATAAGCCAAAAAGAAAAAGAAAAATACCGGATGGTCTCACTCATAGCAGGAATCTAGAAAACTTAAATAAGGGACCAGGAAAATGAATATAAGAAAGTGAAAATCAAAATCAACAAAAAACTATGAACCAGAGACACTTTTTGGGGGGTGGGGGGCGGGAGGGGAAGGATTGGGGTCAGAATGGGGCGTTTGCAATTGTATGGGGGAATATAAAAATAAAATTTATTATTTAAAAAAATAAAATAAAATAAACTACTGCAGAGCATGGCAAAAAAAAATAATAATAAAAATCATTTAAAAGAAAAAAAAGTTTATAAAACCTATGTTTATAAAAGTTTATAAAAGTTTATAAAACTTATGTTTTATAAAGAATTGTTGGGATTAACCTAAAAAAAAAATTTGGAGAAAATAGAAAAAAAAAAATAACTGCACAAGATGTCTGTGTAACATTTTTTAGCAAGCATAGTTCTGCATATACTGCAGCTTAAACTACTGGGACATTCCCCCTGCTATACAGAGAATTCACTCTCTATACTAAAAAAATCTTGGTTATGTAAGATTTCAGTTCAAATTACTGATTTGTGTTTTCAAAATGAAGGACATTACAACCAGTCTTTCCTTGTAGAATGAAGATATACTTGATACTGATGAAAAACTCGCTTTTGCCAGGGCTGATACATGAGGGTGCCAGCCTAGGAGTTTTTAGCTTTGTGAATAAATTTATGATTCTTATTACATTGCAAATTCAATATACTCAGTGCTGTTCAGAGGTTTCTTCTAAAGATATGTGAAAGAAACAAGCAGAAAAAGTTAATGAACTGAATGCAACTGGATAAATGTTTCTGTCATCGAAGTATTTTTGCGGAATGCCTTGTTCTAGGCAGGCAATGCTAGATGCTAAGGCAGTACAAAGCAAAATAGTTGCAGATTTCCTTTAAGGAACTTAAAGTTACAGAAATTTTTATAAGTGTAAGCAAATGTGGAAAAGAAGTACACCATGTAGGTTGACTTAAAGCATTTCTGTGCTTGACACATGCACAGATTATTCTGACCGCATGAATATATTTTCTTTTTCGATTCTGTATATTCTCCAAAGTTTAACTCTCTAGTTAAGAATCATATTATACCTGGTGACACAAGGGGTTAATAAGCATAGTACTGTGAAGCTATCTGCAGACTCTGCAGCCCTGTATGAGTTTGATCCCGGCAGCCAGGGAGCTACCCAAATGGCTCAGCAGACCTCTCCTGTCTCTCCCGCTGCTCCCCTCAGCAGTGTATTTTAGTAGATCTGCCTGTTCTGTTCCCCACTCTGTCTCTGGTGAATCCTCTTACCTCCTGCACCTCTGGCCTTTACCCTAGTTCTTGTATGCATAAATAAATAAATCTTAAAAAAAATCATATTATATTGATAGACTTGAATCTCTTGTCAAAAAGATTAATGACATCTCCTAGTCTCATAATACCTGCTGGGAAGCATTCTGTTAGAGGTTACTATTAGTTGCTAACTGTGATACTACTTTCATTGGAATTTGAGCAGTGTAAAGTTGACAGAGATATTTTAAGGCTTATTTCTTGGTGTGACTCAGGTATAACCTTGTAAGTCAGGATTTAATAGAGTGAACAGGAAAATAAGTGGTGATATATAGCAGACATGTTCAGCCTCAGACTTGTCAGCATATTGGGAAGTTTGCTAAGCTTTAGAAAATAAATTTCTCATTAGAGAACTTGGATGGTCTTGTCTTAACTTGTTTAAAGCCGGAAACAATATATTTTGTTGTAAGTTGTCTCCTACAAAGGTTCTCAAACTATGACCCTCAAATAGACCTCCTCTAAGATTGTTTTTCTGCTGGGCATCTACAGCAGTTGGCATGAAGTGCTGGAGACCTCCTGTAATACCAGGCCACTTTGCTGATGAACACTTTGCCCATAGTGCCTGCTATGAGTGAAATTAATTAGATTTGTGCTAGCCTAGTCAATTTCCCTCCCAGCAGGTTGTGTGGTTAGAACTCCTCAGAATCTAAGGATGATTCTCCAGTTCTACTATCTACTGGGTTTTGAACATTTTTAAAAAATTGTGAAAAAGGTAATTTTTTAAAAAAGGACTTGGCTACAGAGTAAGTGAGAAGCAAAAAAAGAAAAAGATGGCCAAGATCAAAGTACAGTAGTATTTTCTTTCTGCTTATAATAATGGAGCATGGTTTGGTAGCAACAATTAAGACATTAAAATAAAATTTGTCCTTTTCTTAGGCTTAGAGAATTCTTATTCTTAATCCTTAGATAAATTTGAAGTATTTTCTTAACTTCAAAATAAAATCGATTAGTATTTTAAGAACTCAGTAGAGCTCTACACCTCGAGAGCCAAATTTTACTCTCTGAACGATCATGTGAAATTCACATCTTCATTCCCAACCCACCCAAAAAATAGCTTTAAATAGGAATTTTGAAATTTCCTTCTATCCTCTACTGGCAGCAATGAACCTGGGATTTGTAAAACTGTATAAGGTGCATTTTGTGAGAATGTGTTTTCCATCAAATGCAAACCTACCTTGATCACAGGTGATCAGAGTTAGCATTTACTTTCTTTTCTTGATGTTACCATGAAATTAAAGTTGAATGAACCAAGGAAGTCCAAATGCCAGTGCAGTGCTTAGTTTGCTAGCTTAAGTGAAATGAACACATTAGGTCACTTGCGTCTAGGTACCAGGTCCCCCTGCCCTGTGCATGGCAGGCTGGCATCAGCCCCAGGAGAGTGGAGCAGGTCTGCAAGTCCCTGCATCGCAGCGGCGCGTCCGTGGCGAGAATTGAGAGGAGGAAACGGCAAGGATAGGCCCAGGAAAACGAAGAAATGGAGCAGCCCATGCAGAAGGGAGAGGAAGACCGCCTTTTGGGAGGGGGCGAAGGCCACCAGCCAGCAGGAAATAATAGGAGGGCACGGGCTCGCCGACTTGCCCCTGATTTCTGGTGGGCCATACCCAACAGGCAGGTCAATGACAGGATGTGTGGAGATGGAGATGATATGGAAATGTTCATGGAGGAGATGAGAGAAATCAGGAGAAAACTTAGGGAGCTGCAGTTACGGAATTGCCTGTGTATCCTTCTGGGGGAGCTCACAAATAACCATGACCATCATGATGAATTTTACCTATGCCTTGACTCCTGCCAGTTTTCATAAAATTAATACTGTGAGTCCCACTGTTCTGTTCTTTTTCCTTGCATTTTCCTGATAAGCCTTTACTGATTCGTTTGCTGTAAACCTTAGGTAATTTTAATTTCCATGTGTCGGTGGGTCCTGTGTTAGCAGCTTCTAACTGGAGATTGCCTTTGCACCAGTCTTTTTTTCTGTCAACAATTTGCATGAAAACATGTAAAGTTAATAAAGCAGTTAAGAAGAAAAAAAAAAAAGCACATTATGTGTATAAGACTGTTAACTCTGTTTGTGATTACAAAGGATGCTTTAGTTCAAATGCCCATGGACTAGTATTTAAAACCAAAGTGGGGACTCTAGTAATAAAAAGTGTATCACTCTGAGAGGGTGCAAATATATGTTATTAATCCCTCCATGCTTATTACTTAAGTAACTAGTGAATGTGAATGGAGTGATTTTCTGGTTACTCATTTATACCTCTTTCTACAAAGGATTTGAGGCCGTTTCCAAAAATACCTAATATATAAAAGAGTAAAATGAACAGTTGGGGGAATTAAGCAAAGGAATTAATAACATTAAGAAAATAATAAAGCTATTATAGAATGAGTATATGATCCTATATTTAGTATAGCATATAGAATGAGCATATGAATTTATAGTTTAAAGAGGTGGCTCACAGATTTGTATCAGAGTTCCTAGTAACCAAGCAAAGAGGGCAACATGGTCAGTTATAAGATTTATATTGTCTTGTCTATGGCTGAAAACAAGCCAAGCATTCAGTAAAGAAATTTCTCCCTTCAGTATTATAAAGCCAGACAATGTGATATAATGAAGCATATCCTTACATTATCCCTATAACTATGGCAGTATATTTTTTTAAAAAAGTGGAACAGTACCAAGAATAGTATACATTCAAGTAGCTATCATACTAAGCTAAATGGGCATTTGTATTGTCATATTTGCCCCAGATTATCATTTTAAAAGAAACAGATAAACAGATAAAATGTTAACCAGTCTCATTCATCTCACTTGCTTTCTCATAGCTTGTCAGTGAATCTGATGCATTGCTTGTCATTGTTATACTTCTACTATATGTATATATCTGTGAATAATATATAAATCTTAAATTTGCATAAATAATGTATTACACATTAACATTCCCGAATTTGCTGTTTCTCATCAGCCTTTTGTTTTCTCTCATTTCTGTGGTGCTACATAGATCTAGTTCATTAATTTTAAATATTGGAATATTGCTTTTCATTCTGTGGAAATAACTCAATTTAGTTATCTGTTCCTTCCTGATGGAGTTTTAGTTTGGTTCTAGTTTTTCATTATTATAAACAATTCCACGTTGAACACCTTGTTCTTTCATGTCTTCTTGTCCTGTATTGCAGAGATTCTCTAGGGTTGTGGTTCTCAAAATGTGGTTCTAGGATTAACTTATATGAATCACCTGGAAACTTGTAGAAATGCAAATTCCTGGGTTCATTCCAAACCGCTGAATCAGAAATGCTAGGGGTGGGAACCAGCATTCTGTTTAATAGGTGATTCTGTTGCACGCTGAAGTTTGAGAACTACAGTTCCTTAAAAGTAGAATTACTAAGTCATAGGGTACATGTATTTTCAGCTTTAGATATAGCAAAATTCCTATCCAAAATATACATACTAATTTACACTTTTACCAGCAGTGATGAGAGTTCCCTATTTCTCCTGGTCCCCATCCATGGTATAGCTGATTTTTTTTTTGTTTTGTTTTTTTTTTTTGCTTGTTAGTCTGACAGGTGTAAAAATGTTTGAGCTATTTTGTTTTATTTTATTTGGTAAACTATTTTTTTAGGGTTGGCCTTTTTGTTACTGATTGTGTAGAAAAATTATAGATCAGTTCATAAATTAATAAAATTAATCCCTTTGTCACATATTGCATGTCATTCCCCCCATTTGTCTTACATATGGTACTTTAAATTTATACCATATTTACCAATTTTTTTAATGGATTTTGTGTAGAAAGACCTTGGAGGGGAGAATTTTGAGTTGTATTTGATTTGCTACTGGAACACCCTGCTGAGAAGTATAACAGTTATTTGAAAATGATCTGAGGTTTATAAGAGTTCAAAGTTAAAGAGATTTGGGAAACATTTATATAAAGGTAGAAATTTGACCTTGTTGGGGTGGATAAAATTTCCCTGAAAGAGAATGTAGCTTGAGAAAATGATTGAGTATTAAGCCATGAGGAAAAACAGGGGAGGATAATCCAGTAAAAGAGATTGGGGAATGATTATAAGCAGAGCAAAGAGAAGAATCTGAAAAATCAGTAATGGTGAGTAGTAAAGGGGAGAGATCTTTAATGCTGTAAAGAAAGGAAACACATTTAAGAAAGGGGTAAGTGTTGCCCATCAAGAGATCAGTTCACAATGGGTTGAAGAATAGTTTGCAATGAAGGTGAGTTAGATAACAAGGTTATTTTTCCTTTAGGGGTATTTGTATGGAGTATTTGTGCCCTCAGGAAAGGAGAGAGTGACAAGGTTGTAGGTGGTGTTTGCAAAGCTGTTTTTTCTTAGGCATTCTTTCCATTGGATGTGATTTATATGCTCCTTGAGTAAATCCATTTGGTAAGATAATATTAAATATTGTGCAGAGGATTAAAATAAATACAGTGTTAACGATTGTGAGTAGGAGACTGCTTTGGATTAGATGCTCTCTGAGGTTAAGGTTTAAATTTAGGAGCTGAATGCTAAGGAGTTCTTTGAATGATAGGGGTAAAGCCCTCCAGGCAAGAGATAAAAGTTTTCAATCTCTAGTAGGTTAAATGGAAAGATAGAATTGTGTTCCATTAATCTAATAAAATTCTCTTGTCTCTTGGGTTGAGCAGGGTAAAGAGAAAACAGAAATCTTTGTCCCCTGACTTTGGGAATCTCGTTTAACCTTCAAACTGGCGATGTCAAGGGTTCCAAGTCCTCCACCTCCGGCAGAAATGTCGAGTGGCCCCGTAGCTGAGAGCTGGTGTTACACACAGGTAAGTTCATGTTTTCATCTGGTTAATCTTAAATTTGGGGAGGATTTAGTGGATGAAAGGAATAATTTTCTTTCCCCTGTTGGGTTTCCTGCTTTGTTTGGGACATAATTACCAAATAGCAGATAGATACAGGTATTTGTCTGCTCTTTAGTTCTTGGTTTCTACATAGAATCTGAATGCCTTTGGCCAGTGGCTTTCACTGAAGGTTGAAAGGGGGGAGTCTTTGCAACTAGATCCACTTACACTACCCCGCTTGCCCCCATAATGGCAATGTGTTTCTCTGTTGGGCAGTTCTAGGGGGAACGAGGTTTGAGATTTGCAACCACAGGTAGAACATCAATATCCCAATTGTTGTCAAAGGCTTCTCTGAGTGCAGAGGCTCATTTTAAGTATGACTTATCATCTGCTTTCCCAACCCCGTTCGTGTTTTTCTCACTTTTGATGGAAAGTGTTTCTCCAAAGCTGAGAAAAGTTATGAAAGCAGTGGGTCACTGTGAGATTTTTAAAATATGGAAGCGGGACCTAATGTGAGAAAAAGCTGACCAAACAATGCTATCTTCTATGGGAATCATGCAGAGGAGAAGGGAGGAGAAATGATTATCTGATCTTCAGCCTGTTTTTTTAGGCTGGTCACTTCCTCTTTAATGGCTTCCTGGTTTTCTATCAACAGATCAAGGTAGTGAAATTCTCCTACATGTGGACCATCAATAACTTTAGCTTTTGCCGCGAGGAAATGGGTGAAGTCATTAAAAGTTCAACCTTTTCATCAGGAGCCAATGATAAACTGAAATGGTGAGGAAGAATACATAATAGTTGTAAAAACCTTTCTGTAAGTTGTTTTGCTTGGTTTTATGGAGTCTTGACTAGAATGTAAGATCTTTGAAGGCAGAGGCTTTGTTTTGTACTTAATGTATTACTTAGTGCTTAGAACAGTACCTGGCATTTACCTGGCTGTTCTCTGTATTTTTTTAATTAAGTCAGTGATGTCAGGCATCAGTAAACTCAAAGGATGTGGAGTTTTGTGAGTAAAGAGGGTCAGTGTTGTGAGTGTTGACTAGTTGGCAAACAAGTGTCTTTTTAAAAGAAGTGATAGCTACTCAGCTCCAGCTGACCATAACCAGATTTTCTGATTTTTCAAGAAAATCTAGATTTTAAGGTAAAATACTTTGACTTTTAAATTGTCTGTTTTAAACAATAAAAGGATATTTATTTGCTTATGTAACTGAAATGCCCAGGGTATAGAATGAGTTTGAAGGTAGTTAATCCAGTTAGATTAAAATCCAGCTAATCTAATCCTTAATCCAGTTAGATGAGGTTCCCAAAGTCTCTCTCTGCTCTGCCCTGTTCTCCACACTGTTGGACATCTCAAGTCTAGCTTCCCTTGTGGTTGAAGAATGACTGGCTGTAGCAGTGGATGTGACTTAACTACCATCTAACAAGTCCTTGAACTTTTCTCTGGACTGTGTGGCCAAGATGATGTCATACCCGCTGAATGTGTTAGGTCTGGGTGCCCTCAACTAATCCCTGTGGCAAAGGGAATATGATATGGGAGTGGGGCTAATCCCATCTAAACTATTGTTGGTCATGAAGAGGAGCAGGCAGTTAAGTGTCCAAACCATGTGCTCACAGCAAAGATAAAACTTCATTCCTGGGAACCACCAGTTTTGACCTCTGATAACATTAATTTAGTATTTGTTGGCTGTATACATTAAGCAATCTACTACTACATATAAGAGAACCCTTATATCTTAAGCATTGCATTTAGATCCACATCTTTCATATAATGCATAGTGATTTTTGTGGCATATGAAATCACTAGAGTGGCACTGGATTGGGCCACCTGTTTGGAGAAGAATCAACATTGACAAGGCCTAAGGATACATATGGCCAATGTATTATATGTGGTAGAAGCAGTATCTGAACCACATGCAGTTCAACTAATGACATTTACAATTGAAACTCAGTTGAACTATATAAATTCTGTCTAGATTGTTCCCATTCATTGATAACAGACTGGCATCTGTGACTATTTAGAAGCCTAGTGTCGATCTCTACCCTGTTTAATGGGAGTTTATTTTTGTTTGAGTCTTCCATGCTGTCTCCTTTGTTTTAATCTTAAAATATTATTTCCAGATTGATAAAGTACTTGTGAAAGATTATGTACTATCCTTATATTTGTTAAGAATACAAAATGTGTTTTCTCTCCCAAGGTAGTATCAAAGTGCTCATCAGTATTTTTTTCATTGTCCACAGTTCCAACAAAATCAGAGACTGCATTTCCTGAGATTAAGGATTAGAACAGATTAAGATTTAACTGAACTTTAAAATATTTAGGGGCAAAAAGATGAATGATTTGGGAGATTATGAGTCAAGAGGTCAAAGATACAAGGGATATGTTTTCAGATTCTATAATGTCACT